TTACTTATATCAAACAGTTGCAAACTGCAAGAGAAAACATATATATATTTCCTTGCAGTTTGCAACTCTTCTTCTGTTTCCTTTAACTTGACTTTTTCTAAATTGAATATGTGATCAATTTTAAACCTATATTTTATTTTATTTTGCAACCTTACCACCACTTGTCACTGCTATCAGCGCAAGATTAGGGTTTGAACTGCGTTTTATTTTGAACCAGCGAAAGTTCCCGACGCCAGTTAAGTTAGATTGAGAGTAATATATCTTAACAACAAAGACAACCACATCGCTGTAATTCTTTTCTAATAACGTTACAAAAAATACAATTCATAGTCACACATTGTTTAGTCTAATGCGATATGAAACCCACATAAAAAATTTCGATCGAAAAATAACTAATTCTCTCTCATTATATCAGCAAAAATGGCACGCTGTTTTTAATGATTTTCGTCTTTCTAATCAAATGAGAGTAAAAGCTCAAGTTCCATGCAATATTTCACCCGTATTCAATTTTAGTCTATTAAATGTGACAAAAGATTTATTATAATTAATCAAAAATCAATAAAGCAAACAAACACACACAAACAGATATTCTTCTTAATATGTATATTTTTTGTAAAACATACGAATTTTTGATTAACAAACTCTACAATTTGAAAGCGAGCAGTAGCAACACTTTTCCAAATAAAGCATTTTTATCTCCAACTCGAGAGACTTTTGCCACTCGGAAGAATGAGTACGAAAAATCGTGTTTTCAGAGTTTTTAATTAATATTTCGGTTGATTAAAGTCGTACGAAAATGGGAACAATCGAAATGGCTTCCCACGAATTTTTGAAATACGGGAATAATTAATTTAATGTTAGACAAGGATATTTTTTAGAATTTTTTTATTAACAAACTCTACGATTTGAAACCGAGCAGTGGCAACACTTCTCGAAATAAAGCAGATACTTATTTCCATCATGCGAGACTGTTGCCACTCGGAAAATTGAGGACGAAAATTAGTGTTTTCAGAGTTTTTAATTAATAGCTCTTAATTTAGCTACTTTGTTTTGGGAAAAAATGGACGTTGTCGTTTCCAAGGACCCAGAAAAGAAACGTAGAAAGTTTGGTGACAATAGCTGAGTTAATAGCGAACAAACAAACAAACAAACACACAAATAGATATTCTTTGTTATGTATATACACTCTACAAAAACTCGAAGCACCAAGAAGGACGTTTGCTACCGTGACGAAATTTGGTATGCAAAAACATCTTGATTGAACATGCAAATGATCAACGTTTCAAGGCAAATGAACAGGAATTGCGAGCCTAGGGCGCATTTCTAGTGCACAATTCGCAAAGTATAAAACCAGTAAGAGAGGCGGAAAATTTATCTTTTTTTCTTGCTGCCATTGTAATTCTGTAAAGAAGCAACCAAAGACGCCATTACGTCGATATCGAAGACCTTACAGAAAACTAAATGACTTCCAGCGTGGTCGCATTGTAGGTTGCGTGAAGCTGGGTGGTTATACCGAACAATAGGCCGCCAACTGCAGCGTACAGATATTGCTGTGCAAAAATGTTGGCACCAATGGTTGCTACAAGGAAATTGCCGACGAAATGAAGGCTGTGGAAGACCAAGGTGCCCAAATACCGAGGCAAGATAAGATGATTGTCCTCCAGGCCCGAACCGCCCCAGCGGTATCATTGTCAACTATTCAACGCACTACAACCACGTCTATACCTCCCGCGGCTCCGTCCACCATCTCGCGGCGCTTGTCTGAGGCAGGGTTACGCTCACAGAGGCCTTTACAACGTTTGCCTTTGTCGTCTGAAGTGGTGTTGCAGCCAATTATCATGGCTGTCATCAGACTGGCATCCTATAGTGTTCAGCGATGAATCCCGCGTCACTCTTGAAGCAGATGACCAACGTGTTCGTGTCTGGAAAGAACGGGGCCAGCGGCCCCAACCAGTCTTTGTTTCGCAAAGGCATACAGTCATAACCCCTGGTCTGATGGTGTGGGCGCTATTTCTTATAACAGCAAGTCATCTTTAGTCATCCTCCGTACATCGTTAACAACTGAACGATGTGCTGATACCATCCTGCAGCTGGTTTCATTACCCTTAATGGCACATCATCCTGGGGCCATTTTCCAACAAGATAATGCCAGGCCACATACCGCTCGCATGTCTATGGATTGTCTCCGTGAGGTTGATACTCTTCCTTGGACAGCAAAGTTACCAGACCTTTTAACAATCGAGTATGTCTGGGACATAGTAGGCTGCCAGATTCGGGCACCAGCAAAATATCGCAGATCTGAAGCGACAACTGACGAATGCTGGGCAGAATGTGTCGCAGGATGACATTAGGAACTTCTACCACTCCTTGCTTCGACGAATTTAAGCATGCATTGCCGCCAGATGCGCTTCGACCAGCTAGTAATTTGAGCACTCTATTGGTGATTGTGAGCTGTGAACAGGTACTATGACCTTGATTTTTTAATCATTTTATTATTTGTGTATGAGCTATACACATATTCAATTTCATCAAAAAAAAAAAAAAAACACTTCCTTCAAGGTGCTTCGATTTGTTTTTGCAAAAGAGTGTATATATACATAAAGTTATGTACTTTTAGTGGGGCGATTCCAACCAAAAAAGGGAGGTGCGCATCTACATATTATATCATTCCCATGTACAAATTATCAATGTTCTAAGTCTACTCATTTTTCATTTATGCGAGATACATACATACCTACGTATACATACTGTGCATATACGTACAGAGTTCACGAAAACTTCTGTTCTGAAGCTATTTTAAATACCCGTTTGGGGAGAAAAGGAGTCCTTTATTCTGTCCGTAAGCACAGATCTAATGCAAAAACATCGTTCAAATCCAATCGATAGCTGTCAAAATGGATATTTTCGTTGAAATACCCGGAATTTTTCGCGATTACAATACTTTCTTTACTTTGTACAAGGATGTAAAAATGTTTCACCTTATTTATCCCTGTTAAGATATTTTCAACAATTTCCACTGGAAAAGCTCACCATTATTTATATTTCAAATTCCCTTCATGTACATTTTATTTTGTCATTAATTATCCCTAGCAAGCACTGTATAAAATTTACAGCCAGACAGTGTATATACACTTCAAGGAAAAAGGAATTTTGGGAATATATTTAACTCAAGAGTTTTGATGTACAAATATAAAAATACGTTCTCATACTTTCATTTTACATTTGATAAAATATCGTAGTTTATTTAGTTTGCCATTTTATGTTTTGATTTTGGATTTTCCTAGAAATGCCCATCAAGGAATAAGAAGAGAAATTTTAATATAAGTTTTCGTAGACGACAGAAGATTCGAAACTTGTTCAGTTAAAAAATGATTTTATTAATATAAAACAAATTCCAGACAGGGGTGAAATTTTTATAGTTCTACAATAAATTTTATGTCGAATTTTGATTCTTCTAAATGATACTAAGGTTTGAATTTTTGAAATGTTTGGTCTTATATTTCTTTGAGAATTTAGCGCTAAATTTATAAGTTAAACCAAACTACTGAATCTCTGGAATAGACATCTGAAAGCATAATATGAGCTGCAAAAAATTAAATATAAAAACAATTTAATGCAAATTTTGCAGTAAACTATCATACCTTTAACATACTTAACAAATTAATTGCCCTTTAACTCAAAACATACGAATTTACGAAACTCAAAACTCAAAACATACGAAAATACGAACATTATTTTTATCTTTGAACTTTAAATAAACACATTTTGAATTTACTATAAAAGTTCTCCGTATCTTCTGTCTAGTCGTTTTTTTATAAATACACATAATGTCCACGAAAGTTCTGAAAAATCCAAGTGCACAAGCATTTGTTATGCTTAAATTGTTATTATTTTCAAGCTTTAAGTTATTTGCTTACTGTATTTTTTACGTAATCTTACGTAATCCAGTTTTGATCAGTAATTGAAGTTATCAATTTTTGCTTTAATTTGTTTAAAGTTGGTTGTAAGTTTAAACTGTATTTTTTGTAAACTTTAAATTTAGGTTTGGTTCCTTTAATTTTTTTTTTAAGTTGTTTAATTTTAATTTGTGTTTAGGGTTAGGTTTTACTTGGTCTTTTGTACTTGTTTGTTTTTGACCATAACTTTTAACATTTAATTATTTTAAAGACTTGTTGCTGCGCTTTTGGTGTGTTAATTTTAATTTTATTTGAGGTAACTTAATTTTTTTAACCCGTCTTTCTATTAAAGTTTATCGAATTCATATTTTCTGACTGTGGTGGTAAGATCAATCAATTGTAAATAAAACTCAATCTGGATAATGAGTGTGTATACTTAATTTCTTCTGAAGATACAATTTATATTGTGTTGGCATTTTAATGAACTTAATTGTTAAATAATAGTTTAATTTTTACTGTACTAAATTCGTTTATTTTGTTGAAAAAATATTCACTCGTTCTGTAATTTTTCACATCCAAAGTTGTCGCCTGGGAATTCGTTTCTCAGAATTCCTTATCTGCGGAATTCTGTGCCTCGAATTATTTCGCCAATCTTTTTAACACTTGTTCTGATGACTTGTGGACTGATGACAATGTGGAGGGTTTCGTAAACGGGACCCTGTTTGCTCTGACATCTCTAGCATAGAAATATTGTGTTGGGAGATTGTTTACGTGGAGTGAAATTACGTCGGTTAGGGTCCTCGCCATAGTGGAGTTGTACCCCGAGGCGAGGTTAGTGCTTTCCTCCTCCCTTCCATTAGCAGAGAGGAGGTTGACCCAGCGGAGTGGCTTTGGAGGATTTCTGTTGAACTGTGTCGTTCACCAAATTCTGGTCGTCGGAAAACCCCTTCCCATGAAGATTTCTATATTTCGTTGTTTGGGTTTGCCATGCTTGGCGTTCTTCCGATCATCATAATTCGCCAATTATTTCAAGATCTCGCCAAGTACAAAAGTTGCTGCGCATTTGGGACGAGAGAGGGAGAAAATTTCGGATACACGTTCTTGAGACGGAGAGCTCCGAAGAGAAAAGGTGAGCATCAACTGAACAGCGTAGACAGTAGCAGCGCCGGTCTATGTTTCGAAGGAAATGTTACCTACTAATATCATCTTCACGGCTGACCTGAAAGAGAGACGAACGTTGGGGCTAGTGCCACGAGAGACAACGTTTAAAACACCCTGCTAAGCTGAAGATATTTCTTTACATCAAGATAAAAATTAATGTTTGGAAGCAGTAGCCAACGAGTCTGCCTGATGGAACCTGCAGAATGACGGATATTCTAGCTGCCGCCCCAGTGACCATTGCTTTAATAATTTTCACTTAGTATTCTTTTTCATTCCAGATCTCAGCTTTTTGTAATCCTGCAACCTCTTCTATGCATGTGACTGTTTACATGTCAGCTAACCATGTTAAGTTTGATGACCGCCAACACCCAAATAAAAATAAAAATGTAACTATAAACCTTTGATGTCTCTAACTAAACGTAAGATTGATTTTACTTGCTTTTTGTTATTGTTATTAATTTTAATTAATTTTTTACCCTGGACCATATATTCTTATTTTACTGGGTTTAATTTGCTTTTCACAACGCTAAATGTATGCTTATATATTGACTTGTTATAATGATATATGCTCACTTGAATTACTCTTACAAAAATAGTTTATTGATGTTGAAAATATTCACACATTTACCAAATACAATATTGGCTTAAACATGAATTTTCAATCACACAGTGGTGATGTTTAGTAATGCCTACTGTAAATGACTTATGTTATAGTGTTCTATACTTAATATATAACACATTTGCAGTAGACGCATACTTTCAGTTAAAAAAAAATATTTCAAGAGATGCAAATATTTATGCTTTTGAACTCCTAAATCTAAATTTTCCTATAGTTCTTTTTTCATATATATATATATATATATATAATATAAAACGATTATTTAATTTTTTAATTATCTCTGAGCTCATAATCTAAATTTGAAACTATCGCAGACCTTAGAATTGCCACATTTCTCTATCCTAATACTGTTGGTTTAGTTGAAAAATTAAAAGTATTTCTAATTTAATTAATTTTTGTGCGATTATTAGATTCAGACTGAAAAGTAAGATTATTTCATGAAAATAGTAATGATTTATACAACAAGCGTTTAAACGAGCGATATATACAAGCGTTTAAAGGCTTGTATATTACATCTGTAAAAATGGTTTTGACAAAACAAATGTCTTAAATAATTTTTAGAATGTTCCGCACTAGTAAATCGCAAAATATTATCAGTTAAAAATAATTAATGGAAAAAACAAGCTCGAATCATTCTGATCGATTCTTCAAGTGACTCCTCAAAGCATGCCGAAAATAATATCAAATCTCCTAAATTTTGAAACTAAGAATGTCGGCCCGTTTCGTTCAGGACGTTTCTTTTGCATTTTCTTTTTCTAATGAATATAAATCTTTCTGAAATATTATTATAATGATCCAAATATCTTAAAAACGTTAGACTTAATTAACGTTTATAAAACTAATTTTTTAAATTTAAAAATGACAATTTTTCGATAAGTAATATTTGACACACCATTAAAATATTTTTTCTTAGTTACACCATATATACTCTACAAAGGTTCTGAATCGAAATTATAGTAAATATGACGTATGTTAGTATAATATTCGTAGCATTTGTATTTGCTTATGCTTCAAGTAGTCATTCAGAAAAGGAATACCATACATATGCTCTTAAATGAATGAAATCTCATATCTGCAAAATTTATATTTAAAAAATGTTATGATGATATTATTTGATCTAATAATGAAAATTTAGATTTTATTTTAAGTTATTTTAAATATAGTTTTAGCTGAAGAAGAATTATGATCATTTTAAAATCCAATATATTTTTCATTATCCTAATAAATTTAATGTCACATAAAATTATTTTAAAATATTAATACAGCTTAAAGTAAATTTGTATAATATATTAATTTCGTAGTAGTTTTGTTTCATTAACCTGTTATTTTATTAGTTTCATGTGATATAAACGTTTATCATTTAAGTAAAGATGTAAACTGTTTTCTTGTTTTTTAATTTGCTATAAATAAATGCAATGCTGCGATTTGAATTTAAATATATATCATATTCAATGCAATTCAAATAGCTGTTAGAAGAATTAACTTAAAAGACCAAGTTCATGATCTGAATGGATGGTAATGTAACAACCCGAAAAAAAAGAATACTAGATTGCCAGGTTATATATATTTCTGACGTTAAAAGTCGCATAGTTTCTAAACGTTAACAGATTCCTTCATTTTTAAAGTCATAATTCATTGTTCAAATTTAAAATAAAGGAAAATTTGTGAAACAAAAAATTACCCAAAATAAATTATGTGATGGAATTCTTTCACTATGTTCGATAGCGACTGAAACATTTCCCAATTAATATAAAATTCCTGTGCATAAACAAACAGTAGTCGTTTTGGGTAATACTATTTGTTTTACACTTGTATTCAATAAAACTACGAAACACGCCATCTTTTTGTTTAAAAAAAGTAATTTGTTACATAGTATACCATATCTATTAAATCTCAAATATTGTAGTTGCTGGAACGTAAGGGAAATTTAAGAATGGATTGAAAAAACTGAAAGTGATTGTACAGATATTAGGCCTACTAACGTGCAAGTAATAACTTTCAAGAGTTGGCAACAGGAAAATGTCCGACAAAATGATTGGAAATGAAGCTTCAGTCAGGAAATCATTCAGTCAGTCAGATTTATTTTAAAGGAGGAAAAATATTACAAAATTGTTTACTTTTAAAGTTAACAGAAGGCACTAAAGTAAAACACATGTGATACTAATTTCAGATTTACTTTCACTTTCGTTTGAGTTCCAAAATATAAGACTTAGATTAGTAAAGGATGACACAGAATAACAAAGGAAATACATTGTCTTGACTTTAGTTAAACTAATAATCAATGCGAGCTCAATTCATCTGCAATGATGAATTGATTTTTCCCTTTATTTTATTCATAATTCTGATGGTTTCTTCCTATTTCAATCACTCAATTCATCTGCAATGATGAATTAATTTTTGCCTTTATTTTATTCAGAATTCTGATGGTTTCTTCCTATTTCAATCAATGGAACATGCAGTTTATGGATTCTATCATTTTTCTTTAAATGTACTAGAAACAGAAGAATTTTTAATATTTGGAAATACCCTTCAGAATTCAGTTAAAACAGTCACTCTTGATTGACTTATAAACCAGCACCCAGTGAGTGATACACCGCCAAATATACTTCCTTTTCTTAAAATATTGTGGCAAAACCTAGCACTTTCGAGTCGTTGCTTGTTGCCGTACAGTAAATAAGTAATTAAACTTCATACTCATTTTAATATTATACAAGGTAAATAAACAAATAGTATGAAATCTATGCTTCGGAGGAAAAGAAACAAAAATGCTTTGTTAAACATCAACCAATACGTATGCTTGCAGAAAGTACACGGCGAATTTAGTGCTCATGCTCGAAGAGTGTCAGTAATACAATAGTCAAACATACCGAACATTGAAACAAAAATCTAGCGGTTGAGCACTAGAGGACAAAAAATGACACATTTCCAGCTTTTATCAATAGAGGGCATCACCAACATAATCGATCAAGAAAAGTCTATAGAGCGAATCGTTAGAGCTCAAGTGGTAATAAACCAAGAAGGTAATGCATTTGTTACCAGTCAAATTATATTTGATACTTATACACAGGAACCCACGTTTCCTTTTACAGACTAAGCTAAATTTGTTGTTACTAATTAAACTGCTGTTATTTTTTAAAACCTCAACCGTAGACAAGACTCTGTCCAGTATCACAACTCCGCATTAATTTCTTAGATAAAATATCCAAAGAGACCGTACGAGAACAGAAAATTTGTGAGAGAGGGAAAGTAAAAAATAACAAACAAATAAATGATTGCTTTGAAGTTGTCAAGTTATGTCTATGTGTTGTCTCTGCGTAAGCGAGAGCGTAACAGGAATATATTTTATTTGGATTATGGTGCCTCTCACAAGTCTAGTCGCAATGGGAGGAATAACTTTTAAGGAAATCTGGAGAGGAAACGTATTTGAAAATACGTTTTACAAATACTGCTAAAAACAGAGTTACGCTTCCGTAGATTTCGAATGCAAACATCCGAGAGATATATTTTGGTTAGTAAAACACTATTGTGCAGGCATGGCTTTGAATCGCGCTCTCAAAAGTGTTAATATTGGTAATTTAATACGCAATGAGAATCTGTTGTACACTGCACCTAAAACTTATTCTTTTCTTTTGGTGTGAAATTGTTCTAAATCGTATAATTCTACAAACTGTTTTCCAGGATAATTTTGTTTATTTCCAATAGCATCGCTTAAATATGTGTGCCATAGTTAAAAAATATATACTAAATTAGCCGTAGAAGGTATTGCTTGAAGTTCGTTTGTAGAAGGTATTTGGATTTAATATTAAGTTTCCTATAGTAATATGTCTCAAGAGTTCGTGGTAAATAATTTTATGGTTCGCGTTTGCTTGAAATGTTTTAAAATTATTATCTAGTTATCTTTGAAACAGCATTCTTCTTTAAAAACTCTCCGACGTTTGCTTTAGGGCGTCTGATATACGAAACGTTTCCTCCAGTTTAAACAAATATCTCTGGTTATCAATCATCTGTTTGTGTACATAAAGAAATGCCTTAGGAAGAAAAATAAATTTCTAAAAAAAATTAAGTTTTTTTTATCTTTTAAATTACTTTTAATATTATTTGATTAGCACATGAAAAATATTCAAATGTTTCATTTGTGTTTCCGATATATCTTAAGTTATAAATTCAATATTCAATTACGTCTTTCTCACATACAATTTTTCGAGCTGCAGAAGAATTTTGCATTTGCATTTTCAATAACAGCTTTAATCATAGACATATTTTCACTTAATCTGTAGCATGAAGAATCAGATTAACACTTTTAATGACTCTCTTTGATGGAACATTAAAAACTAACATGCTTCTTAAGAGTATCTTTAAGTACGTACCGACCAATTTTAATTGAAAATTTTATCAGCATCTCTTGAAGTAATTTAAAAGATTCAAATTATGCGAAGTTAAAATAGCTCTGAAAAATAATCAATAGGGCCCTTGCACTAAGCGATGAAAGAAGTACCGAAGAATTGGAATTCCTTTCTAATGTTCCGAATTTTCTGGACGTTAACCTGTTAAATATCCTTAATTGTTAGAGATCTCATTCATTTCAGAGAGTAAAATTACTTTCCAAATGCAAATCTTGATTCTCTTTCCTTAAAATCTTCTCTTTAGTGTTATTGTCATTGCTTAACTTTCGAAATTGCAAAGACATAGTTAAGACTTTACTCATTAATTTTTATTGGAAGTACATTAATCGATTGTCTAAAATAACCATTACTTGTTACTTCAATG